CTGTGAGTGTTCACCACTCTGTGAGTCTCCCCTCATAGTTTCAAGCTCAAATGCTTAAATTCCCCTTCATATAAAATCAGATTTCAAATGAAATCTGACATGTCTTTTGAAATCAAATTCATAAGAATACCTTTTAAGCTGGGATATAGAAGTGGGATATTGCTTTAGGCTTTTTATGGCTATTTTAATGTTTATATTTTAAAATATTAGAGCCTACTTCAAATTCAATTTTAGAAACTATCAAGGTGTCTGGTGAAACATAGCAGAGTTGGTTTGGTGGATTATGTGAATTATGTCCAAGACTACAGCACTGAATTGCAGGATAAGGATGTCTCTGTGATCAAAATTTCTACTCTCTAAAGTTCTATTAAAAAATAAAACCAACAAACTTACAGCTATTATTATCTACCTCATAGGTGATTATAAATAAAGACAAACTATCTTGTCATTTTAATATACTTTTCCTGATTAGGAAAAAATAGTATCTATTTCTTTTCTGTGGCTTTAAGCCTTCAAAGCTGCCTCTCTATCTTATTGCCAAGTATTTAAAAAGTACTGAATAAAGAGACGTTTCCTGTTGTGTCATATTATTCATAGTCTCGTTCTTGTCTGAATATGCCCCCCAAATCAAATATCAATCCACAATGTTACATGGCCGGAGAACTGTATCCCTGCAAGTGATAATGTTGAAACCTTAAGCCAAGGATTAGGTCAGATATGACCTTATTTGGGAATGAGGTTGCATTTTTTTTTTAAGATTTATTTATTTATGTATCCAGAACTAGGCTACAGGCGCAGGGGCTGTGAGATAAATCACAAAAGACAGAGTGGGGAGCAGACAAGGTATATCAAGGAAGTGCACTGCTGAGGGGAGCAACGGGTGATAGGAGAAGTCTGCTGTGCCCTGTGGGTCAGTTCCCTAGTCCAGGATCAAATGTTCTGAAGCTGCTGAGGCTAGCTTCCCAGCTTCATTGTGTTGAGCTTTAACCTATTGCGCCACCAGGGAGGGCCCAGTTGTTGCAGTTTTAATTTACTAAAATATACAGGAGTAGGGGAGCCTATCATTCAGTCTTTGTCCTTAAAGAGATTTTTAAGGACATTGTCCTCAAAAGAGATATTTAGACACAGGTAAGAGGGATGGCAAGTCATAGGAAGGCAGCAGCAGAGACTGGAGTTTTGCTGTCCTGTAACCTGCAATTCTTAGAGCTGCCAAAAGTTGGAAGGGCAAGGACGGGTCCTCCCTGGGGTTTCAGGGAACAGCGCTTTGTCAATCCCTTGAGCTTGGATTTCTAGTCTCCACAAATGCAAAACACTAAGTTTCTATTGTTTTCAACCATCACTTGTGGCACTTTGTTTTGTGAGCCTTAGAAAGCAAACACAGTTGGTTGAGTTCCCTAATCTTTTCGCTTTTGAGTTTGGTACTTATTTTTGTAATCATCACTTTGCAGAATCCTTAGACTTAAACCTGCATTGCTTTTTCAGCCTATGAGCTTTAATTTCCTTTTTAAGTATAATGGTAAATGATGGTCTTCCCAATATTATGAAACAGAGGTGTTGGCTGTAGCCTGTACGTTTGTGGGAGCCAGCTATTAAATTCTCAGAAACTTTGCAAACCAATTGCACTCATTATTTTTTAAATTACATTCTACACACTTTAAATTAGTTAAGTCATGCTAAGACCAAGGTGATATAATAATTTAAAAAAAATCTATTACTTCCTAATTATTTGACCACATTCTACTATAATTTATGATCTTGACTTTTTTTATTTGCTTATTTATCTACATAGCAGCAAATGTAATATTGCCCTATCTCCCATCTTTTCCCAAAGCATCTCAGCTGCATGCAATGTGTCATAGGGGTATTATTACACTACAATAATTGTCAAATCTACACTTCAGTTATTTTTATATTTTCAGATGACTAGATTTGAACATTTACCAGGACACCATTGAAATAACCTGTAAGAACCTTCTCTGAGCCAAACCGCCATGGCTGCACAGGAACACGCGAACGGTGACTTCTCTGTATAGAGCTCTTTTCTGGGCCCTGCATCACACCTTTCACTAGGAATTTAGAACTCAGGCAAGCATAGAAAAGCAAATAAAGGACTCTATTACAAATAATGAAGGAAAAGAGATTTGACAGGGTTTGTGGAGAGGGGATAAGGCAGACTTAGATGTTGGTGACCTACTTTTTTAGTATTGTCTACTAAATCTCCCAGGGAAGTGTTTAGCTCTGATTATAATTATTAATTAGATTCTGATATGTACTATTTAAAGGGTCTGTGCTCCTTACTGAGAAACACTTCAGATAGATAGATAGATCAATAGATGATAGATAGAGCAATATATATGGCAAGCACATGTAGAAGTTGCTCAAGTTGGTAATAAACTGTATTCTTTTATTTAGTAAGGCAGAACCAACTCAGCTATCAAAATATAGCTGAAATAAATGCCTCTATACATAGGCAGGGTAGAATCTTCATCGTTTTAACTAAATATGAAATTTCACTATGTATGAATGAGATCAACATTCTTTTGCTTTGCTATAAACATCTTCCTTGTTAAGCATATCATCAATTGGACATCAACATATATATGCATATATTTGCATATTTATATCTTTAACTCAACAGCACCTAAGCACATTTGAAATAAAGATTCAAGAAACTGGATACCATTAAGTACTTCCTAAAATTCTTAATGGTAATTTGAGGCTGTTAACTGTTTGATATTATTCTCCACTGTGGGGAATAGAATCTCAGGTTAAAAGGTCTTGACCTTGACCTTGATCTTTGTGCTGTAAACTTTCAGTCAGTGCCAAAGCAAAGTTGGGAGGCTTTTTTTCTTTTATCCATAATGCCAGCATTACTCATATCATACAAAGTCTTGCTGAGTCTACTTTTGCTCTAAGCGCTGTGTCTTATACCAGGAAGTGTTCTGAGTGTGAATTGTGTAAAGTGTGGACGGCATCCTTAGGATTTTGTGATGGAGGCTTTCCTTAAAACCTGCCATCAGAGCCCAACAACGTTCTTCTCTATTGATAATTTAGCCACTAGTTGTTCCTTGTGAATACAATTATGTCAAGAACTCATTCACTTAAAGTTCTCCACAGTTAATACCACAATTGTGAGATTCCTTATGTATTTTACATTGAAAAGAAGACAAATTCAGCTCATACATACAGCAGTCAGAATAGAGATCACGTAATAAAGTAGACGAAGTTCAAATTATTATTTCATATTATAAAATATATGTATATATTTCACATATTTTATTCTTCAATATATTAAACATGAGAAACATCCTGCGTTCAGGTTAATCCTGGCAGATACTATTATTAAGGAATGATGAATAAAGTTAAGTAAGAAAAGTAGGAATCGAGGTTGTCCTAAGAGAGAAATTACAGTAAGAGTATACTTCTAAAGTTTACATGTGTTTTATATTGCACTGACACAAAGTATTACTTCACATGTAGGTCATACTTTACTTATTTTTCCTTTCAGAGTTTTCCCTGTAGACATTTAAAACACCCTCAGAAATGTTTTCTATTTTTATGTTATTATCTTCAATAGCAAAATAGCAATTTTATTGTGACTCGCAGCAAAAGAGGTGTTTCATGTTTGTACAGTTACACTAAGGAAAATTTCACAATAAATTTCTTTAATCAACCAAGTACCATGAATATATTTCACTTAACTATTTCTTTCTGCCAGCCCAATGCTGATCTTGGTAAGCATTTCATAATAAAATATTATTCTTGATTGAAATGCAGTCTTCCATAATTACATGTCACAGTGCAATTCTTATCCAATGAACTGTGGTTTTCCAAATTTGGGATAATTTGTTTTATCAATGAGTTGAAATTTACTCTCTCTCTCCTTTAATTCCATAGAAGGTTGTTCCAAGCTTAGAAAGAAATGGGGCACATAGTTTACAACTATTTTGTTTGTTTGTTTGTTTGTTTGTTTTTAATAGTCAGAATTAATGCAGAGACTTTGGGCATATTGACAAGAGAACTTTAGCAAGTTTTATTTTATTCATCTGGCTTGTTTCCTATTCTTTGGTTGTCTAAGTAAGCAATACTAAAAAATCAATTCTGAGAACTATCTGTCTATATGCTTACAAGTATAAAAACTTAGTGAATGAAATGAAACCCTAAAAAGGCCAAGAACACAAATACTTTTTCTTTTCCCCCTTTAGAAACAGAGTGGACTTTATTTGGAACTCTTCCAGTAGAAAACCAAAATTAGTTTATTGGATTGAAAATAGCATTTTCTTGAAGAGTATTAATTTAAAGTGCTAGTATTAAATAAAGCCTGTAATCCATGGAGCTTAAAGTACTTAGCTTGTAGAAATGTGTCATCCAATTGCAATTTTGATTTTCTCCTATATAGTTGAAAAATAGATAATCATAAATACACTTTTTTTTACTTATTACACACACTTTTTTCTCCATAATTACAGTATTTCAGTAATTTCCTTTATTTGAAATCCTCAATAATCATATAAATTATTCTATTTAAAAGACTAGTAAGACTATTAAATTCTTCACTTCTGCTTGCAGTGACATACTGTAACATTTGGTAATACAATTAATTTTTGTTGTATATTCTCACTGAACTGTTAGTAAATTAATTTCATTCTTTTCATTTGTATAAAATAATTGGGAAATTCTTCTAAAACTAGACTTTTTGACCTATAAGTAGGTGGGATGGGTTTGGAACTGACTCCACATTTAATGTATTATTTTTTGTTTTAACTATAATATTTGCTGCTTTAAAGGATGGAGCCACTAGGCAATTTCACATGGAAAGCTAATAAATCTAATGTCCCGATTAGATACTCCCAAGAAAGGAGGATGCAGAAATTGCTACCAGCAACAAGGTTGGGAAATTTCCTGTTGCTCCTCTTCTCTATGATATACGGTACGAGGGTTGGCCCTGATTTGGTCCACCTGCCAGCGGAGTTTAAAGTTTCTGAGGCTCAGAGGAACACAATGACTTGGATCAAACTGCTTAAATGGGAAAGGTATTTCTGCCGCATGGAGGAAGCAGTTAAACTCCTGTTAAAGTAGCCATCTCTTTTTTCATGCGTCCATGTGCAAGACCGACCTTCTTGTTCAGTGACCAGAGATTATTTTTGACAATCCAGGATATTCCGAAAGCTTGGAGACATATGGCTGGAAAATGAAAGGACCCTGGATTGTGGCCACATCATTATTTTGTGTCGCGTTACCAGATGGGCAGTCAGTGGATGGCGAAGGGATGCGAAGGGGCAGTTTATGAAGTGAATTTTTCCACGTATATCTAGAACTAGACTTTTATTCTTCTGGTCTGGAGTAACTGCTTCCCTCATCTCCTCTGCAGTATCAATTAACTTTGCAGTGGGGTGGCCAAAAAGGAAGAGGGTGAAACGATCTCTATAATCTTAGCAAGTGTCGCGGAGTCGCAGCGTCCAGGGAACTGCGGCTGTGACCCGCAGCGTCTTGTGCGGATTCAGGGTTGATATCACGCAGGCGGTTATGGAGCGGACTGTGCACTGGAACCGCTGAGGACGACAGAGACCTGGTGCTGGGGGAAGTCCGCTGATCTCGCCACAGCCTTGCAGGCCGCTGCTGCCTAACATCCTCTGTGCTTTATACCAGCATCATCGTTCTTTAAAAAGTCATGGAAGAAGGCCAGCTGCCAGACCTTAGAGACATCGAGGTAAAGCTGGGGCGCAAAGTACCAGACAGCCTAGCGAGCGCACTCCGTGGGGAGGAGCCGGTTCCTCTGGAAAGGGACAGGGACCCCTGCGGGGGGAGCAGCGGCAGTGGCGGTGGCGGCTGCAGTAGTAGCAGTAGCAGCTGCAGTTTTCCTCCTTCCCTGTCGTCCTCCTCTTCATCCTCCCCAACCTCTGGCTCCCCACGAGGACGTAGCCACTCCAGCACCCTGGAGAGGCTGGAAACCAAGCTTCACCTCCTCAGGCAAGAGATGGTGAGTGTGGTGCGCCAGCTGTGGGAGTGGTAGCCAGGGGACAGATGGCCGGGGGATGGGGGACAGCGGCCTGGCTGTAATGCTGAGGGCCGGTTGCGTGGGAAATGCGGGCTAGAGGAACGCGCAGGGGCTGGGGTCTGCAGACAGAAGCAGGGAGCCTTGTTTACCCCGGACTTTGCTCCGTCAAGGTTTGTTAAGAAAGCGGAGCCTGCCCTGCTCTGTGTACTTTCTGATAGCACCTAGTCGCTGCTCACAGCTCCGACCTCTAAGTTGCCTGCCCGCGACCTCCCAGGCATCAGCTAGCCAAGGATTTGCAGTCCTTGCACCCATGTGGGGCCTGCGGTGCACCATTCACACTTTCTGTTCAAAATGTGGGTAGCTCAATCTTTTGCACTCACGCAAAAATATTTCCTGGTTTGCCCAGAGGTGGCGCGGCTGGACCCTTGTAGCCTTCCTTCCTGGCTTACTCTTCAGCACTACGCAGCTGCCTCCCTTAGCTGCATCCGCAGCTGTTCAAGGCCTCCGTTGAGCTGATATTCCACAGCTGGTTCTGAAAACAAAGGCCCACTCGTCCTTGATGTCCTTATGAACAGCTTGTTTCACTGTTTTGATCCCAGGGAGCAGGTGATGTCTAGAGCTGGGGATTTGCTAATGACCACTTCCTACCCTGCCCCTTCAATCTTCAGCCTGCAATTGTTTTCTGTGCTGTTTGCAAACGTTTGACTAAGACAATGGGACTAATACTGGTTCTGAATATACTTGTAATTCCGGATGGGATGCACTTAGAAACATTTACTTGCCAGGAGCTCTGGGACCCCAGTTTATCTGTAGAATGAACTGGTTGGAGGAACTGATTCCTCCCTAAATCCTTCAAAGAAAATTAACCAAAAAGCAACAGCACTTTCTACTAGCTGGAGAAAAAGAATGTTGCAATAGGGGTCTCAGCCACCAAAGGATGTTGACAGTATCCTACATGCATGAGCCTACTAGGGCTTTGCATTAAAAAGAAGAAAGCAGAACTTTTTTTTCTGGCTCATTCTTTCTGCAATTGGAACACTCTGGAGGGAATAAATTCCATAGCATTAAGTAATCTTGGCAAGTGTATTTGTGTAAAAAGACAATTTTTATAGCTCAGGTCCTGTGCTCACAATTCTCACCACAGTACACAGAGTCTGTGATCTACAAACCTAAAACTCTAAAAACCTTTAGCCATCTCAGTATCTTTAAAGATGTTTTACTTAAGGACATTAGTTTTTATGTCTCAAGGTTGCATTTTCTCCCCACTTGGAATATTCCAGGTGTGAAATTGTGTATATAAAATATAAGCTTTTATTTGTACCTATATAGATGTGTACATGCACGTGTATAAACACAATTATATTTTTATTGTACCTACATAAAAGTGTGTAAGCAATGCACACATGTCTATATTCATACAGTGTGTGTAATATAAATTATATTTTTTAAAGATTTATTTCTGTATATAAAACTGGGGTACAGGCCAGAGGTGCAGGGGCGGTGAGAGGATTCACCAGAGTGGGGACCAGAACTGACCAACTGATGAAGTACACTGCTATGGGGAAGAACAGGCTGGTCAGGAGAGGTCTGCCGCACCATGTGGATCACCTCTGGGCAGGGATCGAACTCATGCTGAAGTGGCTTTAGATTCTTAGTGTTGTGCTTTAACCTGCTGCACCACCAGGGAAGGCATAAATGATATTTTTATACCCATCCTTCACTATCTAAGTATACACAACAGGTTTACACATTAGTTATGCATTTACTATATTCTGGTAATTAACTGGGTGCTAAACAAATAGAAAAAGTCAAGGATCCTCTCTGTTTAGGCCTTTAAAATCTCTTGTACTCATTTCACATTTACTATTTGTGGTTGGAGAAATCCATAGGGTTCAAGTAAATCTGGTTATTTTACACTAAAAACACTTTCTAGACTTATCTATTTTTCTTAATGAAAATGTCAACATTAATAAAAATCTGTTTCCCCAAACCAGATCTTTCTATGTATGATTATGGCATATCAATACATTTTAAAAAAGCAAACAGAAACAGTAATAACAGCAGTGGCAGATTGCTAACTTGACTATTCACTGCATTTTCTATGTGAGGCAGCAGTGTCTATGGACATAGAATTTATGCCAGAACAGATGTTTGGTGTTCAACTTTGTACTCCAAAAATGGTCTCAATTGGCCCAATGATAATATTGGCTTGTTGGATTTAAGAGAGAAGGGATTGAAAACAGGTATATTCCCTTGCTGTTAAGACTGGTGTCTCCCATTTTACATAACCCTTGTGAGTTCTAAAACCTATAACTTCAGCATAATTGTAAAGCAACAGATTTGTTTTTATGTAGACTTGGCAGTTTTGTCATAAACACTGAACAGATGTACTCCTGCAGTTTTTCCTGTCTCCTGCTCGCATCACATGTACAGAAGTAAGGAAACTACAGCTGGAATATAACCTCTTCATTGTGACCTTTCTGTCCTTTTCTGCCTTACACTATGAGCAGAATTAATCTCTCATTGGGATTAAACATGACCCTGTACTTCATACTTCCCATTTTTAGTTCCTTATGGATTTTATCTTCTGGATGGTCGGAATGACCAGCCTCAAGGTCTGTCCTTACACTATTTTCCTACAGAGCACCTTAGCCATGCACAACTTTTTTCTAGAGATTTCAGGATGAAGTTTCCTTCCTTTTCCTATCCAAACGCATGTGCACACGAATGAGCCAGCACAGCACAGACGCACAGGGAGGTAGCCTCACCACCAAGTTCTTTACAGGCACATGGTTTCCATGGTCTCTCTCATCTGTTTTTATTCCCTCATGGATAATTTCCTTTGAATCAATGCTTGCATTGGTCTGTGGGACACAAATGTAAACGAGTCTGGTTGAAAAAGATTGAAGAATAGGGAGAAACTTTCTGTGGCCAAAAGTCTTAATGTTGCATTATTTCTTAACAACATGCATAGCACCATACATAAGAGACGGTGTAGGAGGGAAAATCACTTTGCCTATATTTTGTATGATAGGCCTCCTCAATGTTATGATTGGGGTATTTTGGGGAGGGGATAATTTTTCCAATTATGTGAATTATTATTATTTAGAACTTAGAGATAAGAAAATTTGACAATACACAAGCAAATGAACACATACACATAAATGTGCAGATATCTATAGGACATTTATAATAAAAGTGGACATAGATATCAGGCCGCATATAAAATCTGTCTGGTGATATGTGTTCAGTAGATTTTAGTTTGTATTTTAGTGCCTTCATATCTATTCTGTCATTTGAGCCTAAGGTCATACTGGGAAAGAGGAAGTATTTTCATTCACATTTTCAAGGTCACAGAGCTAATTAGTAAACAAAATCACAAATTAAATTCATCTGCTCTATATATTGTGTTTTTCTCCCCAAAATGGTCTGTATAGCCTGTGCTCCATAATCTCTTCAAAATATAGTATAGTTTATGTAAATATGTGCTACCTTAGCTTCCCTAAAGTATTAAGGGGCCAACAAAATAGGCCTTCTGGATGTGTATGGGGGCATTCTAGATACAGATTCACTCAATAATCAACAAGTACATATCAAGTACCTACTAAATTCCAGGCCATTACAGTGAAATACAGGAAAAAAAATGGCTATTTTTTAAAAGTCAATCTTCAGAGGCCCTGAACTTTGTGTAGAGTGTTCATCCCAATTTCTGTGCAAAATGTTTGTGCATTTTTTAAAGTATTGTTTATAAAATATTACTTGAAATTTTAAGCATCTCATTTAAAATTATCTCCCAGTAAGTGTAAATCATCTGTCAAAACTTCTATTTTGCCACTCAGTAATAAATGTTATGCTATACTTTTCTTAGACTTTTCAAAGTTTTTAATTTATTATAAACATGTTCATATCATGCCTCTAGTTTGAAAATGCAAATTATTTTATCAATTTAATCTGGAAAACTTTTAAGTGCCTAAGATTAAAAAGCAATCACTAAAGAATGGAAACCTGGAATTAGAGTCTAATGTACCCTTTCACAATTGCCTACTGTTCAGAAAACCATAGTTTGGATTGAATGAAATACTACCCATTGATGCCAGATTTTAGTTCTAGTCAATTCTGTATTATGTAAGAATGCTTACCAATTTTTACATAATGCCTTGTCACTGTGAAAGTAATGTGAAAATACTTTTCCTGATTTTCATATTTTGGCGATTGTTTGCATAGCAGCTGTGTAGTAGTGTGTAATAGAACAATCTCAAACTAATTGCTTATCTTTCCTCACTATTAACACAATCAAATTACTCCACCCAATTCCTCAACTCTTGCTTTAGTAAGTATTTATAAGTAATACACAGAACTACAAATGAACACACTTACATACATATACACATCTAAATGATGCTGGAAGAACATAAATCAAAACAAACATTTTTAGAATAATGAATTTATACTGTTTTTACTAGTATTTCTTTTATTGATCTTTTTCATCTGTTGTCTATTGTGTTAAATGTTTCTCATATCTTGTGTTAAAAAGAAAAATATTTCTACATTTACTCGAAAAGATAATTTTATAAATTAATTTCACAACTACTTTGGGCATACTTCAAAGCATGGGTGAAGAAAATTCTGCCAGTTACTGCATCACTTAGCTATTTTTTATAACTAAATATTAACTTCAATAGTATTTTTACAATTCTCTCCTCTAGTTATTCTTTAAAGTTGGACATAAATGAAAACACTTAGGTGTATAATTGAGAAGTGATTTTGTCTTTTACTATAAAGTAAAATAAAACTTTCTAATGAGTTCCCAAGATAGTTGAAAAGATAAATAGCAATGTAATTTGGTCAGAAGAGATTGCAAGCCAAATCAGCAGGTGCATGTTACTGAGGTGGAGATCAGGTACAAGTGTTAAGACAAACAGATAAAGCCAAGGAGATTTCTCACAGTAAACGTGCCCTGTACAGGAACCCAAGGTACTGGT